TTTGACTTTTAATAGAACACAATGGAGAAAAAGGATTCATGTAGCCGACCCCACGTAGTGGGATAAAGGCTTGATGTTGTTGTTGTTGTTGTTGTACAATTACTTACAATTAATTATAATTAATTACAATTAATTACAATTAATTACAATTTAATTATTTTTAATTATAATTAATTAATAATGATTATAATTAATTAAATTAATAAAAAATAATTATTTTAATTAATTATTATTGATGATAACTAATTAAAATTAATTATAATTAATTAAAAAATTAATTATAATCATTTAATTAAAATTAAATATAATTAATAGTAATAAATATAATTAATTAAAATAGTTATAATTAAAGAAAATTAATTAAAATTAATTACATTTATCCCTCTCCTCTCTATGGAATTCGGCGGGTTTACGGGATTAGGCCGAACAGGCGCGTGAAAGGGAGAAAGTTGCCTTTACCTCCAGCAAGCTCCTGTTGTTACTTCCGATCAAAATGAGCGACTTCCGATCCGAACAGGAAGGGAGAGTCGTCGTCGGAGGAGGAGTCGATGGGTCTAGGACTTCAAGAGGTAGGTGCTCTCTCCTCTCTCTCTCTCTCTTTCTCTCTCACGGGATCCGGCCGAAGGGGTGCGGGAAGGGAGAAAGTTAACTTCACAGCGAGCTCCCTCTGTTTACGATCAAAATGTCGTGACTTTCGATCCGGCCGGAAGGGAAGTCGTCGAGGGAGCTGCGACGGGAGCAGCTCGTGCGTCGGACTGGAGCCGGAAGTAGCATACGAGGGAGAGGGAGGAGCTCGGGATGAGAGGAAATGAGTGGGTGGAGTGCTGTGGAAGTCGTGAATGGGAGAAGGGTTCGCCTCCCTCTTATAGACGTAAATGGGAGGCGATCGAAGCCATCGTCGCAGGATTTGCGGAGAAACGACGCAAACGGCGCCGAATCGGCGCGATTTGCGGCAGAATTCGCGGGATTTCAGTCCGAGGTACGTACAGATTTTTGCTATTTTTGTTTCTATGTATAGAGGTTAACAAGCTATGAGTTTGATAAGGCAATGCATAAACATTAGATAAGAAATTTTGAAACATATATAATATTGTCTAAAGTCAAGAAAGAGAAAGTGTTGTAGATCTTTTCCATATATAGATAGATAAGGGAGATCTATGATGTACCAACACTTCTTTTCAAAGAGGCGTGCAATAATTAAAAAATATTAAATACAAATTGGTCACGCGAGTCTTAAAAATATTTTATGAATTTTTTAAAAATATAATTTCTTTTATTTAAAATATTTTTTTATTTAAAATATAAAAATTAAATTTCTTATTTCATATCCAAAATACCAAATTAATCGCACACACTCAATACTCCATTCATCGAATATTCTCTTTGGGGGCTCTCGACTTTGGTTTCACAACAATGTCCGATGTCATGTCAACATTGAAATCTCATGTCATTATAACATTGACATTTAAAAATCATCTCAACAACAAAGTCTAACATTGACTTGAGACTCTTAACATTGATGCTCGACGCTAGCAATTTCTACACCCAACTTGACAACTCTTCTTTGTCTGACATCATCTTAACATTGACGATCAACGCCCTCTCAACATCGACAACAAACGCCCTCTTGGCATCGACACTCGATACTTATTGCATAACATTACTGCTCGACTCTCGACAACATTGTCGTCTCCTCTCTCGATGCATGATACACAGTATTAATTATTTTAAGCACAAATTCTAGTTAAATGACTTATTATTTCTAAATTCTTTTTAATATTATAATTATTCAAATTTCATAAACTATTTTTAAAACATAAATTTATAATATCGTGTCCAAAACATGTCTGTGTCCTATATTTTGAATAATTGGCGTGTTCAGTATACGTGTCGTGCCGTATCTGTATCGTTGTGTCCACCGTGTCCATGCATCATTAATAATGATAAATGGAAGGGGTGTCATGGCAAAGGATGAAAATAATCGTCAGTTAAATTTCATATGGGAAGAAACATCAAAATTTTAAACCTAAGATATACCAGAATGAATAGCTATAGCTGAACTAAAAGAGAAAATCACATTAGTATAATGCATCCAATTGAGAATATTGGAATAGTCAACCACATTCTTTTTGGGAAAGAGAGACTAAATTGGAATGAGCACTAATAGAAAAGGTAGAAGTGGTGGCAGAGACATGCTAAGTTGTGGAGGATAACCAAAGTTTTCCCAATGATGGTCAAATGACTAATTGGTCCAATGATAATAATGAAAAGGTGGAAAAGAGTTATGACCATGACCACCGCATCCATCATTATCATAACTACCACCTATTCTCTTCATGCGAGAGAATTAGAAATATTCCAAACAACCAAGTTGTCCATAAACTGAGCTTAAGCATACTACAAATACAAATGCATATCAAAGAGAAACTTGGTGATTAAAAACTAGTTTTACTTCTTCCAAGAAGTTGGATCAGCAATAAAGGGGCAATACTAAAGAAGTTCATTCCATTTGTCTTTCAAAATATTCTAAATAGGCTTGCCACTCGTTTGCAAGAGGATGTACAAGAGTAGAAGATGTATGCCTTAGAGATGTTATTATCCTTAAAGTAATTGGAATGAAGCAAATCACATGTCACTTAAACATACTCTTTAAACATGACGTAGAAACAAAAAAAAAATTAAGGTTATTAAGCATCCATATGAGAACACCATAGTCAAAAGCTTGTCACTTGGCGCATTTGGTGGTGTCCTGCGATTTGGCAAGGATGCGATCATATTATGAAGGCTGGTACATAAGCATAACGGACAATAAAGTTCAAACAAATTATTAGCCAGTTGAAGAAGGCTGCATAGCCTATATACTACATATATCCAAAAGAATTTCAGCTGAGCATGCATCGGTGTGTTCCTTTTCTTTTCTCCTTACTACTATCAAAGGACCGCACCTACAGACACCAAACCCCACTTATAACACATAAATACAAAAAAATATACCTTCATCCAAACCACTTGCATCTTTAAGTTTCTTTATCTCAGCTTCTATTTGTTCCGTTGTCAAATTCGCATCATCCTACAAAGCAAAATTTATAGTACAGAACATATTAGAGTGCCCTAGCAAATAAATGACCATTTTATTTCCAAACATGAGTTGAGTTTAATATTCCATGAAGAACAAAAAATATGTTATAAAAGAGCAAACTAAAGTCAAGATGAAAAAAAAAGGAGAAATGAAGAAATGTATCATCAGATAACTAGATCTGGTTACATATTTTATACGCAATTAATTTAGCTGATTGGCAAAAAAGGAGAAAATGATTAAAATGATCTCTTGCCGCTTTATAAAAGATTAAAATAATCTCCAATTATATTAAAAGACCATTTTGGTCCCTCAACTCCTTAAAGAGGAACCAAAATAGTCCCATCATGAGACTATTTTAATTTGTTTTTACAGAATTAAGAGACCAAAATGATCCTTTAATATAGTTGTGAACTATTTTGATACTTCATAAAGAGTTAAGGGATCAGTTTGATTATTTTTCCAATCAAAAAGAATTGCAAGCATAACTGAGAAAAACAATATCCTCCAAAAAAAGGATATTACTCAATTAATATTATGTTGATGTTATCATTCAATAAACAATTCTCTAAGAGACTTACAGCCATGTCAGTGTCTGCCTCAGTTTCTTCATCAAAATTTTCCATATTATAAACACTTTCACTCTCTGATTGATTGGATTCTTCTCGTGTAAAATTATTGTTGTGCCCATCCAAAACCATACCATCACCTTCCTCAACACTACCATCAGCAACATCATCATCAGAATCTTCAACAATCCACGCAGCCTGCATATATGATGATCAAAACAGCCACGCCAAAGAGAGAAAAAAAAAATAAAGGAAAATAAAATAGTAACCTGATAATCTGAGGTTCCTGGTGGAAGTTTCTTTCTTTGTAACTTTCGTTTTTTATTATTTGCATTAGCTTCCTCCATATCTGCTTCTGTTGGCCAAGTCTGATGGAATATAAAAATAACGTTAGAAATATTAATGCGTACAAAATAATGCTAGAGTCTAGTTCCGTTCTAAGTAGCGAACAGTCAATCGTGCTCAATTTCAACTTTCTAAGATGATGAATGTTGAAGATAAGCAAAAAAAAGACATGTTTGGCTTGTGCATATCTATAAATAAGCGTAAAGGGTGTAAAAATAAAATGTATATATAAAATTAATGCAAGGGGATTATGAAAGAAGATGAGCAGAAGAAGAGTTATGGATAGAAATTATTTAAGAAGTTTTGCGCAGAATAAATTCAACACTTTGAGTACTTTAAGAATTACTCAACAAGAATCGTCCAAATAGATGAACAATAAGAATTCATTAAGTGACCAAAAATAAATAATAACTGTGCAAGGCTAGTGATGTTGATCATGACTATACCATGAATGAATGAAGTAGGAAGCTTGAAACTGACCTGCTCCCCAGCAAGAGGGTCTGGTATATTCTCAACAACCAGCGGTTCTTGCTTTAAGGCATCAGGCATTAATGTGACAACAACCTGCAGAGTTTAAGAGAAGAAAGCACAATAGCAGTTAGGCCTATGATATTGCTATGCTCAAACACAAACCAAAATCCATGGGTAGAAATTATTTTTGGCGTGAGGCCGCTTAAATTTCAAAGTTACCTCTTCCTCGCATCAGTATCTCATAAAAGTTAAATGAAAATTGTTCTTTAAATATATTTGCATACCTAAATAACTATCTGCAGAACAAGTACTTGCATAATTACACCCAACACTATTAACCTTGAGTGTGTAATGATTAGGTTCCCTATTTTCAAAATTTCACCATCAAGTGCCTCAAGTTTTCCAAAGCATTCCAAATCTTTCAGTTTTTATGGACCAACACGAAATATTATTAAAAAGTAAAAACTAAAGGGGATTACTAATAAATTCTATAAGTGGCGGATCTAATGATTACAGTCTAAATTTTGGAGCTTAGAAGTATTGTAATAATTTCTTATGATAGTTATTTATTATTATATTTTAAAAAGTAATCAACATTTCATGTTAAACTAAGAGCAAAAGTATGACGCACTTTGGATAAGGAGGCAACAAATCTTCTAATAGTATTCGCAACTTGAATCTATAATGATGGCATATATACATCTACAATTATATTATTCGCCAAATTTAAGCATAAACAAATATCTTTTAAAACTCAATATTCATCAAAACTAATGGAAATACCCATAGACCATACCATGCACATATAGTAGATGCATATCATCGCAAATGGTGTGAAGTAACAACATAGAAAAGCCCTATAGTAATTATATGGTCAGAGTAAATGCTATGTCATGTATTGCTGGCAATGGGTTGAACTGAGGCTATTTTCATTGCCTTTTAAGATCACTTCTATTTTAGCAAAATTTTCACATCTTTTATTGATTTATTTTATTAGGCTTAATTATGCTCTTAAAATAATAATAAGTTTGAATTTATATGCTTTGTTAGAAAAATTATTACTATGATTTTGAACTTAAATTATTTGATTTTATCCTTATAACTCTATTATATGTATAGAGATTCACGACTTATATTCTGTAATTGACTATTATTGATTGAATGAATGTAAATTATTCATAAAGACAATTGAATATGCTCTTTAAATCCAAGTTATATATATGGAGTTCCCCCTTGTTTTCCTCAAACAACTTTGGCATCAAAGTGATATTCAATCTTTCTCTTGATCAAAATACTTTGATATTTCGTTACTACCAAGCTCTCGTAACCTAAATTTGGGAAACACAACAATGCAAACCCACATTTATTAAGCCTTCCTGCAAAACTCCAAGCCTACATAACTTCCTAAACTCCGATCCCATGTTTGTTCCCAAAATCCTATGTGGACGCAAACTCGCATTCCCCGTGCTCCCTGAACTGTGATCCTTCTCAACAACAATTGCTAACTTCCAAAACCCTAAAATGAAACAATGCTCATGCCACTTTAAGCCTCACACAACCTAGTGATCATCACAAACCTTATGCTTGTTGCTCACCTCTTGCTACATTGCACTTACATAATGCATCATTATTGCTTGCAACTATGACGCTCATTAAAGAACAAATAAAAAATAATCTTGATAAATACCTTGCCTAGTTTAATGAATAGATCATCAATAGCATGTCTTATCATGATCAAAGGGCTACATCTTTAGTAAATGAACTTAAGCAAAGCACCAAAAAAATAGAGACTAATAGTACAAGCTTAAGAAAATATGGCATAAGTATCTGTAAAAACATGTGGCAACGAAGATCTACTGGTAAACTAATTGTGACACCACAAGCAATCAATCACCCACCAGATGCTACAATTAATCCTAGAGTACCTAATGAGTTATTTGTAGATTTACTAAAGCCCGACAAACTATCTAAAACGACAAACTATCAAGTTCTTCAAAATATTCTTAAACAGACTCATCCACATTATGAACAAGACTGGTTTAGACCACCCTAGTCAGAACTACTACTATCGATTATAATGATCCCATCAATAATTTCATGATGCTACCCAAAGGATCAAAATAAATGCTCCCATATTTGATGGTTTCCATGACATTGGTGCTTACATAGATTGGGAGTCTAAGATGGAGAACATCTTTGGTTGGCATGAGAGAAATGACTAACAACAACAACATCATCAAGCCTTTATCCCATATGTGTGGTCGGCTACATGAATACTTTTTTCTTCATTGTGTCTTGTTAAAAGTCAAATTTTTATTTAAATCTAATAATGAAAGGTTATTTCTAATATTTTCTAACCAAGTATTTTTAGGTCAAACTCTACCTTTCTTAACATAAGCCAAATCCAATACATCTACTTTCCTAACCAGTTCATCGGAAGGCCGATGTTTTATATGACCAAACCATCTAAGGCAACTCTCTCTAATCTTATCTTCCACAGGAGCTACTCCAACTTTTTCACGTATATGCTCATTTCATATCATGTCTCTAAGAGTAAAGCCACTCATCCACCGTAGCACCCTCATCTCTATTTCTCTGCAATACTTAACTTAATATTAAGCTTCTCTTTTAATGGCCAACATTTTGCACCATAAAGCATTGCAGGTCTCACCACCATCTTATAGAATTTTACCTTAAGTTTGAGGAGGAATTTTCTATCACAACAAGCTCGATGCATTCCTCTACTTCAACCATCCAACTTGAATTCTAATATCCCCATCCATTTGATGCATTCAGTTATTTTTGGTTTATTTATGTTTTATTGTATTTTAAACAATATTAGTTGTGTTTTATTTTTATTATGCTATCCTATGATGGTTGGGCTTCCAATGATCCTGGTAGGAAGGTGCTCGGCATGGCGAACCTTGGGTTTGCTTGCTCTTGGGTCCACTTGGTCCTTGGGCTGCTTGCTGATTTTGGTTTGGTGTGGTGGTTGCTCTTGAGTATGGCCTTGGTTGCTTAGTATGAAGCTAAAAAAGTGTGGGATTCTACTTGGTGTTAGCTCATAAATGCTTGAGCTGAAGTTTAGCTCAATGATTGGAGATTAATTGCACTTCCTAGCTCATTAATTCAAAAAGGTATGATAATATTTCTTGGATTCATTTTGGAGCGGACTTGCCTCTTCTCCACCCCTATGTCTTCTCGATTTCCTGTGCTGGCTGGTTTTCCGTGCCTGGCCCCTCTGTTTCCTGTGCTGGCTGATTTTCCCGTGCCTGACCCCTTTGTTTCCTGTGCTGGCTGGAGTTCCCGTGCCCTGGTGCTTGGCCTCCTATGTTGATTTTTCGAGTCTCCTGCTGGCTATTTTCCCGTGGCATTTTGGGGGAATTTTCATGGTTTTCACCCTGTTTTCTGTGCTGTTTTCTACTGCAGTCTTTGTTGTCTTTTAACATTCTACTTGGTGACTTTTGGCCTTTCATTTCCCCAATTCCTATTGGCTTTGGTTGGAGGTGATATGGCTGCTTGTCTACCTTCTTATGCCTATAAAAGAGAGTTGTTTTGGCATGAAAAAGGTTGTTGATGATTGTGAGTAAAAACTCTACAAAAACCTAAGGGTTTCTTCTTGGAAAAGCTTGAGAGTTTGTTCCATCCCCTTCTTCTCTTCTCTATTTCGTCTTGGCTTCTAACCCCTTCTTCTCTACGCAAGTTCAACTCCACTTGTATCCTTCTTCTTGAGCTTTGGAAGTGTATGTTGGCTGAAGTTTGGAGACATTTGTCGGAGGAGTTTGGAAAGGATGTTGGACTCTTTTGCAGTGGTGAACTCTTGGTTTGCAATCCTAAGCACAATTTTCTTAAAATTCCTACTTTCGTTGCATGTGAGGAGACCGCTAGACGGTTTTACTTAGGATAGCGTTTTTATATTTTTATTTTGTTTTCTTCGATTTGGCTTTTGTTTCTCTTAAGTTTGTTTAGATGTTTGCAAGTTTTATATGAATCGAGTTTGGTTTAAGTCTTGTCCTGGTGTTCTCCAATTTGTCTCTCTTTTCTAGTTTTGCTTGCATCACCATTTCACCATCACTCTAAATAATAGATCCAAGATATCTAAAATGTGTACTCTTATTAATGGCTTGATTGCTCAAAATCACAATCCACCCACTAGATCTATTACGATTAAAATTACACTCCATATATTCGGTTTTAGATTTAGTCAAGAGAAAACCTTTAGACTCTAAGATTGACCTCCATAAATCAAGTTTACCTTCACACTCTCTCTGATGGGGGCATCGACAGGAGATTCCGGCGCGTTTATCAGAGACGACACCGGAGATCGACAGCCATGATGGAGAGTCTTTACTACTTAGGACTATTTGTATCTGCATTTTATATATTACTTGTTTATTTTCAGTTTTTCCCATTTTACCCTTGTAGGTATTTGTTTTCTCTTGTGGCCCAAGAGGCATATTAGACTTTTGTACTTGTTGTCATTTGGAGCCTATTTATATGGCTCTTGTATATTGTATGAGTATAATGAATTGAATGAAATTTTCTTACTCTTTGTTCTCTTTGTGAGTTCAATATCCTTGAGATCTCTTAGTGAGTTCTTTGTGATCTCTTTGTGAGTTCACTTGGTGGAATCATTGAAGATTTGCAACTCTTAGCCTCTTGCCTCCCCGCTATAGAAGATCACAAATAAAGAAGAGGAAGCAAAAGAAGCCCGAGCCCACCTTGTTGCCGCCGGCCCCTAGAGCCACCCGCCGTCCACCCTCTCACCACCGGCCGACCACATAGCCACTTGCCGACCTCCTTCCATCCACATCCTCTCCGCTAATTCCAAGTTGAAATTTGAATTTCAAAATTCAAATTCTTTCCAAATTTGAAAATTCTATATATGGAAAAAAATTTTGAATCCAAATATAAAATTAAATTAAATTGGATTTAATTTAAATTTTCCTAGTCATCATTCAATGTTTGGAAACCCCTCTCCCTCTCTCCCTAGCCATGCCGCCCCCCCCCCCTTCTTGATCTCCCATTAATTATGCACTTAACTCGTTCACCCTATTTGAAATCCAAATTAAGTGCAAATAATTTTCCCTCCATTTACACTAAAATTGAAAATAATTTCAGTTTTAAATTCCCTCTCCCCTTGTTTTGCTTCTCTCTCCAATTACATTAATGGCCTCCCATTAATTCCCCTAACCCCTCATTACCCGCTGGCCCCCTCCTTTGGAATTAATTTGATTTTCAAATTATTTCCCCCCACGTCTCCTCACTAAAACTCAGTTTCAGAAAATCTGAAATATTTTCTGAAGTCTTCTCTCCTACCCGAGCACTTCTCTGGAATTGGCTTGAGTTCTCCACCCAACTCCTCCCTCCAAATCTGAAATAATATCCAGAAATATGATATTATTTCAGATTTGATAATACTTGCTTCATCTTGGCTTCTCCACCCTAGCCGACCACCTCCCCTCTTGGACTCTTGTGGTGATTGCTCGTCTACAAATCCATGGTGTATGGCGGACCCCGCCGTTGACCACGGGCTCTTCTACGACATCTACGGAGATATCCACGTCTTAAGATCTCCTTTCTTCGACGTTGGATTTGGCTTCGACAATACCGTCGAAGAGTACTTGGAATGGATTTTACCGACACTAGTGGACGCCGTTGACAACCAATTCTCCGACTACACGTGGGTCATTCAAGGTCATCCTCCCGTGCCACCTCCACCTCCGAGTTCCTTCTCCTCGGCGACGTTCCTTGGCTCCTCCCTCCTCGTGGCAACCTCATTTCTAATGTGGACGATCTTCCGCCGCTCAACCTAGTTTCGTAGGAAAGAGAGAAGAGGCCTCAAGGTGAACAACTTCTTATTAATCGTTGGATTCAAATCCCTAGCTTTTAACTTTACGTTTTCCTTTGTATTTGCTTAAATTGTTCGATTAATTTCCTTGTAATTCCTTTGCCTAAGTAAGTGGAACTCTACGAATTCTTGTAACCAACTTTGACTTGACGTGTGACTCTATAATTGGTTAAGCTATTGTTAAATCTTCTTTATTAATCTTGTGTAACTCAACCCTGCATCACATCACTCTCTCTCTCTAATCTTATCAATAAGAAGAATATCATTAGCAAAAAGTATACACCATGGTACAATCTCTTGCAAATGTCTAGCGAGAACAACCATGACTAAAGCAAAAAGATATGAGCTTAAAGCTGATCCTTGATATAATCCAATAGAAATAGGAACATACTTGGTCAAACCACCTTGTGTTTGAACACAAGTAACAGCTCCTGCATACACATCCTTAATGACTTGAATATAAGTATTAGTAACACCTTACTTTTCTAGAACTCTCCATTAGCACTTCTCTTGGAACTTTATCATATGCTTTCTCTAAAACAATAAATATCATATGAAGATCCTCCTTATTCTCTCTATACTTCTCCCTTAAACCTCTCAATAAATGTATAGCTTCCAAAGTAAACCTACCCGACATGAATTCAAATTGATTTAGAGAAACATTAGTATCACGGCGTAAACTATGCTCCATAACACTCTCCCATAGTTTTAGAGAAATGACTAGCAACGTATCAAATTTATTAAGACGGAATTGTCTAGGTATGCAAAATGGTATTTTAATAATATTATTCATGATTTTGACTTACAAAGAGCTACTCCCACATCTTCTTGGGTAGAGATAAAAGAAATTTTGAGGCAGAAGTATTTGCCAATCCATTTTAGGAGCCTTTAATTGATGAAGATGCTTAGGTTTTCAATAATAGTTTTGAACAATTGCATTTTAGGTTGATGTATTGGTTGTTGAATGCGAATTTGGGGACTGAAACCTAAAAGCTAGAACATTCACCACAATTGTATACTATTAGCATAGTATAAGCATTTTTTGGAGAGCTTGTGCGCATGTGCTATTTGGAAATACATATTGATAATATATGAAGTCCATTTGATACATGGCAATAATCTTCAAATGTAAAATATTTACTCCATACTTTTTCGGAACTTATCTTTTAATACAAAGTACAACATTGATACCTCAAAGAGTGCATGCAATAGAATAAATGCTCCTTTGAGTTACATCTTTATGATAAATAGCACATTCAATGAAGTATTTATGGATTATCTACGGATTAGCTTTGGATTTGCATAGCCATGGAAAGTTATCTAGGATTCATAACTTTGATAGGCTAGAAAAATTGAAGGCTAAATTTATCGGAAATCCTGATGCAGGAGACGAAGTCATTTTGTTATTCATGATTGTTCTCTATAAAAAGATGTTATCAGCCTAGAGTTAAGAACATTTGAATGTGAATTTCATTGGTATTATCCCGCTCCACTATTGTCTTTCCAAACCTCTTGAGTTTACATGTTCACTCTCCTAATTACGAAAGCCCTGATCTTGACTATCTTCAAAACCCTCTCAATAACTCAATTTATACTTCTCAATTCTTATCGGAATCAAATGATTAACAGTTTCAATTCCTCCTAATTTGTTTCTCTACAACAGAGGCGTTTATAATTGGTGTTTCTAACTTTCGCTAATTCGGATCACATAAACTCCAGATAATTTCACAAGCTAACAATTCAAAGAACCTCATTCTGCATCAGTTGATATCAAAGCACTACTTTCCTCTAACAATTTAGCATCAGAGCACATACGTCAAAATTTCAACCTCTACCAAAGCATTGATTAGTTACGTACATCTAACATAGATAATGCTTTTTCATGTCACTCGCACACCCAGAAACTTTCTTTATATGGTAACCATGTGTCAAGAAAGGTTAATAATTTCAGGCCAAGTCAATATGACAATTGTTTACTAATTTAATTACACCAACAAGTAAGACATTAAATAACAATTACGCCAATGAGTAGGATGCTCGAACATGTCATTTAACATCATAGGAGGTCCTTGGATGCAAGGAATTTAAGTCTTACAGTACTCAAGGAGGAAGGATGCCTAAACAGGAAAGTATAAGATATTGATACTGTAAATGCTCATCTTCCATGACAAAACCTTTTACACACTGGAAGGTACACCCTTAATATTTGTTTAAAAAGTTGGGTTTTGATGCCTAAAAGTTAAAAAAAAAATGATGATGAAATGTAGCTTTAAGTAAATGCAAAGTCACAAGTTCATTATCAGGAAGGATTCACTTAAGTAGAACAGTAATAAAAGAGAAAGAAAAGGGTTGGAACATACACCCTTACAATTTGTTAGAAAACTTGGAATTTGATGCTAGAGAGAAAAACAAAACGATGATGAATGTGACGCTAGCCATAAGTTATTATCAGGTAGGATTCTCTCAAGTAGAATGGTAAAACAGAAAGAAAAGGGGACATAGACCATAGGGTCACGATAGCACTTCCAAGCATCTACTAGACCTCTTATTTCAACTGGATGTACAAACACCAAGAAAAATTTTAAAAATTCAGGTAGAGTTAACTTTTTATTGCAATAACAATCAGTAAACCATAAGACATAGGAAAATAAATTGTAGAAGTTTTTGGTTCAGTGATTTAAAACAGAAATTCATAATTGAGAACTTTACTCAAGCCTAAACAAAAAAATCAAATTACAAATATTTGACAATGATTCAGAAGTGAAAGCGCCAAAAAATTGGAAAAGAAACAAAAAAAATGGGGGGTATACAGCATGAAGCTCTCTTCAATGCAGGATCTAGAGAGTATTGAAGTATGCAACTTTACCCATCATTACAAGGAAGCTAATTATGTTATTCAAATGTGCAACCACTAGATCATTGTGGAAGCAACCTAACTATTGCTCCATACCTGCATCTTCATTAAATGTGGCTGAGTAGAATTCACTGATTTGGGTAACATTCATGGCAGGTCATGTAAACTTAGATGTTATAAGAAGAGTTGGCACAGCTTGAAATATGTATTTAGTTAAGACTGTTTGGAAATAAATTCATGAATCTTGTAATCAAGCAAGAAGAAAGATTCATCACGGTGATCAAATTGTTGGGATAAGGCTAATGGCAATAATGCTTGAAGAGAGAAAATTTTAATGAATAATCAATGATATGCAACAAGCGGGAGCATGCCCATACCAAATAGAATATACGAAAGGAAGAAACTTCAATACTAGTTACGATATTCAATAGGCAGAGCCTGACAACTTAAGCACATGCCTACTTCATGAAGGATAGGAAACTTATACCTGTATGCAATTTGGATTATCCGAGTCCATTGAATTAAAACCTTTTCTTTCATTCAAAGGCATTGGATCCTTGAGCACATCAATCTTTTCTAACTGAAAATCCCCTGCACCGGAAACATGAACCTGAAAGAAAAGGGATGCAAATGTGAAATAGCAGAAATTAGTTAAAACTAAATAACACATATAAAATAAGGATGAGTATCTCACAAGCTGGTTCACTGAAAGATTATGAGCTCTCACATAGCCAGATAGAAGTAAAGTGCATTTACCAGGTTTGTTATTGTCAAGCTCCAGACCAACCTAACAATTAAAATAAAAAAACAATTTTAGTGATGCTGAACAAATCCAAATATTCATCTAGACGGGCAAGGTTACATAAAATGACATCATGTAAATATATTAAAAAGCTTTTGTTTATGAAAGTATCACTGCAAAGCGCTGCAAAACCTAAAGAATAAGACTAAACTGGTTGATTTTTATTAAATCTTAGCACACTATTCTAAACCTGAGCACTTTTTTATACTTTCTAATTTTCAATTTCTTTGATGATAACTTCAAATAAAGATAAGGTGAATAATGTCTTAATCTGAAATGCTCTCTAGTTTAGATGTTCAAGCTTATTTCTAACAAAAAATATCATGATATTCTCAAGCACAGGCAGAAGTAAGATTTTAGATAGAAAATAATGCGCTCTTTCTCCTTTAATATACCATTATTTCACTATTTAGTCATTAATACAAATACAAGCAAATAGTCATCAAGACATATACAAGCCTAAGAACAAAAATTCTCTACAGCATATTTCTATATAACCAACGGAACAATGAAATGTCAGAAGGATCCAACTGCAATTCAGCCAAGTGAATATGGTTCGATTTGATAACAAAACGTATGCATGAAAGAGCTGAATATAGAGTTGATAAGTAACAGAACAATTGAAATCTTCAAAGAAAATATATCACAGGTGCAGCCGTATAGGTTTATAGATATTAGAGTGCTAAAATCAAATAAGGCACACACTAGTTGGAAAATAAAATCGGACCATGTAAAAAAGTGTATTAACATCTGAAGCCTCATACATAATATGCTTAAGAAGCTCATACACAATTCTGAAATAATGGATCAGGATATATCAGCCATGGAAATACATAATTTAACGTTAAGGATAGAATTCAATTGTATAATGAATCAAGAATTTATAACCTTCATTTTTTTAAAAAAAATTGAGTCTAAAAAATTTAAACAACTCAAAAAATTCAGTTAAAAGACAGTCGCAAAAAAAATAGAGAAAGAAGCTGGATTCCATTGTTGTAAAGCGTAGATATGTCTTCCAAGCATCCAATTCAACATAGATTAGTAAGCCACAGGAACACTAGAACTAGAAGCAATCAGTTCACATTAATCATATGCTTAATACAACAATATTACCTCCTGGGACACAAGGTAAGGCCGATGGCTTCGCCAATGTGGAGCAGAAAGGTGTTGATCCTTGAAAAGCCACATGAACTGCAGAAGAGGATTGGCGAAATAACAATGAACAACTTGAATGAGAATCAAGATTGAGCATAAAAAAAATTAGAACTAGTTCTTGAGCCATGTATTGCTCAACGTTTCCATTTAGAAAACAACTACTTCGTGGTACCACCTTGTGCAATTCTTCCTTCGTATCTGCTGGATAAAAACGACAATCTTCAGGCAACTCAGAACCAAGACATGAAATGGCATTCTTCTTCACATTTTGTTTCTCTCTCATACCAACAGGAAGATCCTACAGTAGTGATGACAATATCAATCCTCTAACTGCTTAATAATAAAATACAAGGAAGTTGATATGAATCAACTGTGGCTAACCCGAATTAGGACAGTGGTACTGGGCAAGCCAATGGCTCTGAAAACAGAAAGGCACTGTATTCCAAAGGAATCAATGAAGCCAGTTTCACAGCCATCATTTAAGGAGTTGACTGATACTACAAAAGCAATTAAATCCGCAACCTGAATTGGAAATGGCATTCAATTAAATCGTAATATAAGAAGCCTTCACAAAAAGTAAAAGAAGTAACAAACATGGTAATTTCAAATTACAGTACATGCCTTTGCCATCTCCATGCATGATACCAAGTCGCCATATGGAGCAATCAGAACCTAGAAAAATAGAGGAAATTAGAAACAGAAATTAATGCTTTAAAAGTCACATTTAGGAAGAACAGACACTTATAAATGTCATCTATGTCTGGCATAGACACATACACGTCTCCAACACATCCCGACAAGTGTTTGACACATGTTTTTGGTTCATTAAAAAGTAAAATTTTCTTTTGCCAAGACCGGACACTCCTGGACAAGTCTAAGACTTGAACAAGCATGATAATATGGCAGACAATAGAATTTAAGTAAAAAAATTTATCATGTGACCTAGCTGTTCACCTTGCCTTCTACACCAACGAGAGCGAGAGACACTGAGACACGAGAGAAGAGAGTCCAGAGACAATAACCATATCACTGATATAAACATACTAACATGAGAAACAAAGACATCTGTAAACAAGGAATTACCGTGGTTCTAAGTTTATAAGTTTGCGAAGCCACTGTTGCTGAAATGGCCCCTGATTCTTCTCCAGATAATAACATAAAAAGTTCCTTTGCAAGCATATCCAGGTTCACAGCTGAGGAAAGTCCACAAAGAACCTGCAAGGAAACAATCTAAATCACAAATATGTCCAACATGGAAATTTTCAAAAATTAATCAAACAAATCACAATGAATGACATTAACAACTAATCTGTAATGCACATGCAGAAGTCACAAGGAAGCAAAAAGTTTAAAGAAGCGTGAATATAAGGAAGATCATATCGCCACGATGTTATTATATTATATGGCTAATAATATTCTGTTCAGAATAGGAAAGAAATGATACTGCAACAATGTTGTCCAAGCAACTCTGGTAGTCTAGTTGCTAAGGCCTAATTCAAGGTTAATTTTTGTTACAGAATGAAAAGTTTTAATTGTGGCATGCTTAAATTAATTAAGTAGTTCCACTATGAAATTAGATCAATAAGATCATCATTATTATTCGCCTCCCCCAACTATTTGAAGTCAAAATAAAGAATCCTTTGTTGACCATCATAAGTGCTCAGAGCTGCATTTATTTGTTCACTATGCTCTAGTAAAATTCGTTTGGATAATTTCCAGCCCCATGTTTGCTTTTGTTTAGCTATTTTAAACGTTTCATATGAAGCCCTTACCCATGCAATCCGGCCAATTGGTCAAGACAAAAATTCTCACATGCTATTTTCTACCATCTTATCCTTAATTAACCACATTCCCAGGCTTTCTCTAATATATCTATGTTGTATTTATCCTTGTTTAACCAGTACCTATCATAATATTCTCAATTATCCTACACTCCACTTGCTTTCTTGTCTTAATTTTCTGCACCACAACCAGCTCAATACAAGTTTCACATGCCTACTAGTTGGTAAACTGACTTTCCTTCTGAGTTCTACAAAATTATAATAGAATTATGAAGACAACTTTCATTCAATAATAGGAGATAATAAATTCATGTGTTGTTTTTGGCATAAAAACAGCATGCTTTCCCGAAGAAACAAAGGAACAGCAAAAGTAACCCAGAGTTGATCACAAATAGCATAATGCACTGATTAGTGCGAAAAAAAAAGTTAGTGTTAACAATGAGAATGGCAGTAAAACATGGACTTAAGCCATAGGATCAGTTCAAATTTAAAGAGATAGAGAATAAAATAGAGGATAGCTAACTACAGACCTTAGAAAGAGAAACAGTACGAACATATTCTAAGAATTTGCACAGTTCATGGAGTATTCTTCTTAGACAAAAAGCCAGAAGTGAGTTAAATTGTGGAGGGAATATGTTCAGATGCATGGACAAGTGCGCACATCTTTTTTTTTTCTAAATAAAAATCATGAGTAAATCATGGGCCACTTACAATAATACGTGGAGAACTAGATGGTCCACTTAAGGCTCTTTTATCTTTCAATAAAGTAGCTCTCTTCTGATCACGAAGCTACAAAAGATAACAAGCAACAAGTGAATATAACATTTTAGACAAGCTAGCCAAAAAGAATATTCAAATTTCATTGCATACATAAATAATGAAATGAGTAAGAGTACAAAAGGTAAACAATCAAAACTTGTGATGCTTTTCACTAATTCCTCAAAAGAAATCTTTTTCTATGATATAAAACACATTGACCATAAGTTTTATCTTTCTCTCAACTATTTGGAGGCTCCTTTTATAAATCCTCCTCCATTCCCTCTTTGAGAAATACATAAGGAATCGAGCTTGGTTTCTGCAAATCTTTTGGTAAAATTTTAGTTAAGATAACAAACTATAATTTTGTTCTAGCTTTTTTCATTGCTAATCCTTTTACATTGATTTTATTTGCCCGTGTACTTGGAATATTTTTCAGCCCTTTGTTATACATGACTAAAGAAACAAGAGTAATTCTCAATTACCTTAACTTCAAGAGGTTCTACAGCCACGAACTAATATAATTATTTCTCAATTTATTTTCCCAATTTTAACACACGAAAACCATAACATTCCCTGTTTTTTTAATATTCCATTAAGACGGGAACGCCTTCTTTTTAGCCCAACATTTGAATCCATATAACATGATTAGAATAATTAAATTTAAAAAAATATAAATTTTCGTGACATTATCTTGTTGCATGGCGCTTTTGAATCATTTCTCAACTTTAAAGTTTTTTATGCACCCAACTTTCAATCTAAGGTTAAGGGTTTCACAAGCCACCAAATTAGAATGAACAATTTTCAAAACAACAAAAAAAATTTCTAGATTCATATGGAGATGAACTTTGTAAAGCCTGTTGAGGCCATTCGTCCACAATTGTATTTAGATGCAAAAAATCAACAGATAAACAGAACTATCATGTCTCGAACATCCAAGCAGTTAATATCAATATGTTATCTACATTATGCAGTTCATAGTACAAGCATGCGACCCAACATGCCTACGTTACATAATAACCAAGGAAGATCATAGATGAATCTGAACTTCAGATATTCATCCCAACTGAACATCTTATAAGTGTTGGAAATGTTGGATTTGAAACCTTTTATGTGATTTCATGCAAAATTTTAAACTTAACAATAACGTCAGCGATATGCTAAAATATGGGTTAGTTGGGTTTGAAGGAAAGCCAACAGAGGCATGCCAAAAATTACATAGCAGTATAATTAATTTCTAGCTACTACTTTTTTTGGTTAGGAGGCAAGAAACACATGCGAAATGAACCACAAGCACTCAATAGCTAACTAGCATTAGTTACCATCAAACTTCGTGATAAATAAGCAGGGAAAAAAACTATTTCTAGAATTGGAAATTAAGACATCAATATTTTCACTTATTCCGAAGAACAAGATGGCTAATAAAATTAAATATTATTATGGGGTTGTTTGATTTGAAGTAAAAGGAGTGTGAAATATTCCAAATATAGGGGTTTCGAAAATATCGGGGTTTGGTTTGAAGTAAAAGACATGCAAAGTAATTTTTTGTGTTTGGAATTCACCCTGTAGTTCAATTTTGGTATATTTGAAAATTATTAGAATTGAACGATTTTTAAATATACAATAAATTCCTTGTCATTGCCATCACCCCCTCCGAGGTTGTGAAAATGGACCGGACACTAAACTAAAAGAAGGAGAGGTTCACAGTTCGATGGTTCAACTGAGGTAGAACTAGAGTTAAATCGAATGACATGAATACTAAAATTATTTAAATACAATATAAATGAGATAATAATTAAATTTTTAACAAATAATACCTAATTATTTTGATTAAAGCTCATGAACAAGCTCGATTAAAGCTCAACATAAAACTTACTAAGAAGTTTGATTGACCATTAATGTGAATATTTGTATATTACAAATATAATTATATGCATATTAAATAGGTTTTAAAAATTAAAAAAAAATAAATTTTTAACAAATAATACCTAATTATTTTGATTAAAGCTCATGAACAAGCTCGATTAAAGCTCAACATAAAACTTACTAAGAAGTTTGATTGACCATTAATGTGAATATTTGTATATTACAAATATAATTATATGCATATTAAATAGGTTTTAAAAATTAAAAAAAAAATAATAATATAAAAGTATAATTGTATAATTATAAATCTAATTTTAAATAAGAATACAACAACAACATCAAGCCTTTATCCCACTATATGAGGTCGGCTACATGAATCATTTTCTCCATTGTGTCCTATTAAAAGTCAAATTCTTGTTTAAATCTAAAAAAGAAAAATCATTTCTAATATTTTCTAACCAAGTCTTTTTAGGTCTGCCCCTACCTTTCTTAACATAAGTCAAATCTAATACCTCTACTCTCCTAATCGGGTCATCGGCACACTTAACTTAGCATTATGCTTCTCTTTTAATGGCCAACATTCGGCACCATAAAGCATTGCAGGCCTCACTACCATCTTATAGAATTTTTCCTTAAGTTTAAGGGGTATATTTCTATCACATAATAAGCCCGATGCATTCTTCCACTTCAACCATCCAACTTGAATTCTGCTGATAATATCCCCATCTATTTCACCGTCAATCGGAACAATAGATCCAAGATATCTAAAACATGTACTCTTATTAATGAACATGATTACCGAAAGTCACAATCCCTCAACTAGGTCTATTACACTAAAAATTACACTCGCCATAATATTCCATTTTAGATCTACTCAAAAGTGGAAACCTTTAAGACTCTAAGGTGACTCCATAATTCAAGTTTACCTTCAACTCCTCTCTAGTCTTATCACCACGAAGAATAATATCATCAGCAAAAAGAAATACACCGAAGGTACATCCTCTGCAAATGTCTAGTGAAGAACATCCTGACTTAAAGCAAAAAAGATATGGGCTTCAAGGCTGATGCCTTGATGTAACCCCCCGAAATAGGGAAATACTTGGGTCAATCCAACCTGTGTTTGAACACAAGTAATAGGCTCCTGCATAACATATCTTTAATGATTCGAAATATAAGCATTATTGACTCATTTTCTCCAGAGACTCTCACATAGCACTCTCTCTTTGAACTTATCTATTTTTCTAAATCAATAAATATCAAATTGTTAATCTCCTTGATTTTCTTATAATTTCTTCATCAGAACCTCTTAATAAATGTATGGTTTTCAAGTCCGAGCACTACCCAGGCATGAATCCAAATTGATTTTGAAAGCATTAAGTATCACGCCAGCACGACTATGCTCCATAACTCGCATCCCATACGTTTTAAAGATACCATTAACATTAATACCTCTATAATTCGCAACAATCTTGTGCATCACCTTTATTCTTAAATAGAATTAGCACACTCATTCTCCACTCATCTGGCATCATTTATAGTTTTCAAATAGTATATTAAAAACGTTTACGTAAGCCATGAATCCTCTTCATCTTCCTACAGCCATTTCCAGCACCGCTCTATTGGATACATCAGGTCCAACAGCTTTTCCAACCCTTCATTTTCCTTTAAAGCATCTCTAACTTGCAAGTTTTACTATACTTGCCGATAAAAACATTTTATTCAAGGGTGCTAAAGTAGGTCAATATAGGTCAATCTAATTTTCATATATTTTTATTAAAGTTAGCAAAATATCTCATCCACCTTTGTTGAATATCATCTTCTAAGAAAAGTATATTTTTAATCTTCACCCTAATACAGTTCACTTGAACTAAATCCTTACTACTCATATTTCTTTGTTTGGCTAACTTATACATATAATATTTAATATAATATTAAAAACTTATGTTCCTAACTTTTAAAAATTATACGCATTTTTAGCTTAAATTTGTAACCCAAGTAATTTCATAATTTAACACTATAACTCTCATGCAGAATTCTCACATATTTTTGTGTCCCACATCATAAGAGAATTATAGGATAAAGCACAAACCACAAGTAATAAATAAAGCTGCATGATGTGACAAATAGGTAGTTAGTTAAATTTATTTGCATATGCTTTAAATATATATTTAAAATTTTAAAAATAATTAAATAAAATTTATTATTAAAATTTATTTAAATAAAAAATAATATTTGTTGCACTGATCGATTCAACCAAACAGAATCAATACGACGATTTTCCGATTGAACCGGCAGTTCAAACCGGTTCACATCGGTTCAATGAGAATCCAATTTTCCAACTTGACCAAACTGACAACTTGATCAGTTCACGATCCAACCAGTCGAAACAGCAGGTCCGGTCCAATTTTTAAAATATTGCCCCCCTCTGCCACTTGCCATTGCTCGCCGTGGCTGCCGCACCACCCCAATCCACCTTTGTCAGCCACCACCACCCCATCACTGCCCGCCACCACCACCCCACCACTGCCAGCCACCACTAGTCGCCGCTGTCTTCAACTAGCTGTCTTCTTGCAATGTGAATCATAACTAAGATGTTTTGTATGGTTTTGATTTGCTTACTAAAATCGTTTGATTTAAATAATTATCGAATTATGATTGGACATGGATTCTTCATATTTTTTTAATTTATGAGTTATTATTTTAATAGGTGATTTTTGGAACAAAAAATTTTTAAACCAATTTGTGCAATTTCATACATTGTATTATTTAGTTTATTAGGAATCTTAGACTCTAAGATTTATAACATTTAATTTCTGAGCGATTGTTTGGTTAAAAGTATTAGGAGTTTATAATTAAAGAAATGTAAGAGTTTTAACTTCTCATTATTTGAGAGTAAGTAAACTAAAGACAATGTATCTATATAGGAGATATGGAATATCTCAATATGGCATTTTATTAGAACTTTAAATTCACCCAAATTGGGTGAATTCCAAATTAAGGGAAAACTCACAGCACACGAACCCATCTTCATGATCTAGACAGTCACTCGCCCCAACCGCCCAGCATTGACATTGCCTCCTTTCACCATCTATTGTCACTACTTGAGCCTACCCTCGTGCATTTAAATGCATTTGATTTGCATCCAACAAAATTTTCAACTACTCCGCATTTTTTAAATACATGTATTTTAAAACATACAAATAAACTGCACCATAGAAATCCTATAATGCATCTTATGTAAATCTCGTGATCCAAAAGTACAAAAATTTAAACGTTAAAGATACTAATGAGAAGCGCTAATATTAAGTGCATTTGCTTTTTGTATATTCAATTAATCAAGACTTTAATTAATTTTTAAAAAATAACTAAAGTTGAATGAATTGGGAACAAATAAAATGAAATATTAGTTAAGGATGAAGAAATTAAGAAAAAAAAAATTAAATGGTTTTAATTTTATTAAATGGGAATTCTAAGGAAGAATATATTATAGAATAGCACATAATGAATAAAATAATATAATATATTAAGATTGCTTCAAAAAATGATGTAGGGCTAGCTCTATAGAAGATGCATGAATATAAAACTTTTAATCATTAAGAGAATTGTGGGTATAATACAATGGTTTGGTTTACAAATCCTTTATGGAATTTTGAAAAGAAAGGTAATAACTAATTATTAGACAAGAAGCACTTTGGCATCAAGAGAAACTGAGATGTTAAAGATTAGATGATTATAAATGAATCAAACTTATGAGTCATGCATGAAGTTGTGGGAGAGAATAATGGTTATAAACAAAGAAAAATTACATTAGTTTTGGAGACGATGGTTTCATGTCAAGAAGATCCACTTGAAAGCAATTTTACTATTAATAAAAAAACATAAACAGCATAAAAAGGATCTTCTAATTATTTGAGTACCTTAAGAAGACATATGATTAAGTACTGAGCTATTTGATTTGGTGAGCACTAGGAGGGATACAAAATGTATATCCAACATATGCTAAAATTATTAAAAATGTGTAAGAAGGAGCATTGGTTATTATTAAAAGTAGTCATCGGGCAGCCAAAAGTTTACTACAATAATTGAAAACGTATGTACGCTTCATAATTAGTACTTTGGTCATTCAACAAATATTGATACTAGCAAAAAGAAATGCAATGCTACCATCTTTGTGCGCTGGATCCGAATAGCACGAGCGCCCTTCATGGCATTCTTGTTGGATTTAGCAATTTTGCCATTATCTGCAACGGAAAACAAAAGTGAAAAGAGAAGATGTAGCGACGATGAAGAGAAATTAGAATGAAAGCAATTTTTGTTTTGCACACCAATGACGGGGATCCTGTGCGCCTGCCGTGAGGACTTGGAGGCGAAGCGACTCTTATGAGCCTTGTTCACTTGAACTCTAGAACCTCCCATGCTGTGATATTGCTGTGAGCAGACTAGTAGACCGGTTGAATTCCGATCGGAGCAATCAATTTCTGAATCTGTAAAAACATTCCTTTGTTAGGTAGCAGGATTTAACCATAATTTTAACTTAAATACTGCCGAAAGGTAAATTACGCAAACTTAAATCCAACAAAATTCTACGGGGCTGTTCGGCAACAGGATTTATGCATGATTTGAGCGGGATTTTAGCCAAATCCAGCGAAACGGGAATTGAGCGCCCGCTAAATCTCACGGCGGAATAAATCCTCCGTCTCCCCTTCGGCGGAAAATCCCGGATTTGGTAAATCCTCTCAAAATTTGGCCCAAGAAGCGCGCGAAAGAGAGAAAGATAGTTACCTTCACAGAGAGCGAGCTCCCGTCATCTTCGAAGGAGTCGAAGGAAGAACGATGTCTATCTCTCGTGACTTCCGACACGAACGGATACTTCGTCAAAGGAGGCGAAGATCCTTTTAGCGACCGTCCAAACTCTACCCACGCCGCGTCTCACGAACTCCTCTTCTCCTTCCCACGCCGCTTGCCCCGTTAAAGTCTTCTCCAGCGAGCTCCCGTTACTTCGCCGTCGTCGAGGGGTTTGGGATTTTGTGCGGGAGCGGAAGGGAAACAAAGAGGAGGTTTTAGGTGCTGCATTGCGATAATTTTTAAAATAACTAGGAATTAAAATAAATCTGAAGAAAAAAAAATCTGAAGGGAATTTTCAGCTTATATTCATAATAACCAAAATAGGAGGAATATATTTATTTATTTATTTTGTTCAAAAAAAAATTTTGAAAGTTTTATTTAGATTTTATTTTTTAGCTGCAAATTAATTTTAGGATAGTTATGATGAAAATTGATTCAAATAATATCTAAAGAAGATTTGAATAAAATTGGATTTAGACTGAAACTATATGTGATAAAAATATTTTATATATTATCAAAATCATTTAAACTATAATGTAACATTAATCCTTCATATCCATAATTTCTTTCATTGTGATTCAATAAATATTCAAATAAAACATTATTAGAAATTTTGATAAAATAACAAATCCAACGAGCAATCATAGCATATACAACACAATAAATTCAATTTGATATGGGTTGATTAATAATTAAGCAGAGTTTGAATAAATTTAAATAGGAGTAGATACAATAAATAGCAATCACAACATATAACACATCAAATGTAACACCTGAAAATAACACGTATTACATCTGCGCAATAATTTAGTAATAGTAGCTTTAGAATTACGATTGGTCCAAGCAAGAAAACTATTACGCAGGCAGCGGCGGGTACGTAACTCGTCTAACTTTGTATCGGCTGAGCCTAAGTTGTACTACATTCTTCTCCCCCTTTGAGTGTCTTTTATTTTTCTTTGAAAATACACTCCTAGGGCTTCACCAATAGTGGTAAAACAACTGCTTTTGCCAATATATCCTCTCTTCTTAACATCATCATTATGGCTATCATCAAGGATACATAGTTTTAATTGAATAATGGGGTAGCACTTTTATTTTAATCATTATTTAAGAGTTTCTCTAACGTTTCTTTGTTTTTTTTTTCTAAGCCAGAATAAATATTATGTTTTCGATAGTATTGCATCAATCGAAGAAACTTTTTGCACCGTATGCCTTGAAACTCTAATACTATATATAATCACTCGATAGAAACATGTTGTGATATTATCAATGCTCTCAAAAATACTGATTGTCACTAAACTTCAATAATTTCTAGCGAAGAAAGGACAAGCCCTTCGCTCAACATGAACTTAGTTATCAATTTAATATGCTATTATTGAGTTATGAATGTTGCGTCATGGAGAATTTGCGGCGATAGAGAAATATGGAATTTAATGTCTTAGCGTTGTACGAAGATCCAGCACGCACACAGATAAGAAAGAGAGTATTATAGCGTTCACAAAATACACTAGTACTTTTACGTGGAAACCCCTAAAAAGGGGAAAAAACCACAGGGTATGTCTCAGTTTGAATAAATCAACTAGTATTTGCATTCGATTATAAATGGGGCCCTTCCTTGGGAGAAGGCTTTGGCTTGATGTCACAAATGTACATCATATAGAGCACATTACATGGTGAGAGTTACAATAATCAACATAGACATGTTTGTTTAATCGGCAAGGTGATGATGCATGTCCACATGAGGGCAAATTATTACATCAGGTCACCGGATCAAGAAAATAGGTTCGGACATCCACTAAAAAGTTGTCACGTGGATCGCAGTTTGACTGCGCTTTATGTGCGCTTTGGGTGCTATTTGGGTGCGCTTTGACTGCATTTTACCTGCGCTTTACCTGCTCTTTTGACGCGTTTGACTTAAAATTCACATACACGTGTACATTACACAAATCAAATTTTTAGAGGATATCCGGACCTATTTCTATGTCCGGTGACCAGACGTAATAATTTGCCCCACATGAGAGACTCATAATATTAATTTCTATATGTGTAGATCCTCTCTTGTAACTTAACATCATCATTATGGCTATCATCAAGGATACATAGTTTAAATTGAATAATGGGGTAGCACTTTTATTTTAATCATTATTTAAGAGTTTCTCCAACGTTTCTTTGTTTTTTTTCTAAGCCAAAATAAATATTACGTTTTCGATAATATTGCATCAATCGAAGAAACATTTTGCACCATATGCCTTGAAACTCTAATAATATAATCACTCGATAGAAACATGCATTCTTAGTGATATTATCAATGCTCTCAAAAATATTGATTGTCGCTAAACTTTAATAATTTCTAGCGAAGAAAGGACAAGCCCTTCGCTCAACATGAACTTAATTATCAATATAATATGCTATTATTGAGTTATGAATGTTGCGTCATGGAGAATTTGCGGCGATAGAGAAATATGGAATTTAATGTCTTAGCGTTGTACGAAGATCCAGCACGCACACAGATAAGAGAGAGAGTATTATAGCGTTCACAAAATACACTAGTACTTTTACGTGGAAACCCCTAAAAAGGGGAAAAAAACCACAGGGTATGTCTCAGTTTGAATAAATCAACTAGTATTTGCATTCGATTATAAATGGGGCCCTTCCTTGGGAGAAGGCCTTGGCTTGATGTCACAAATGTACATCATATAGAGCACATTACATGGTGAGAGTTACAATAATCAACATAGACATGTTTGTTTAATCGGCAATACTATAGTCAATATGATAGAGGTCTGAAAGATCGTAGTAGGCAAGAGACGGGGGTAAGAAAGACTATTGTCTAGCGATGGAGGTTAGAAGGGTTGTAGCAGGCGACGAAGGTCAGAAAGACCGTAGTTGGCAGGTGATCGGGGTCAGAAAGACGGTTGTCAGAAGGACCGTAGTAATAGACAAAGGTCGGAATGACCGTAGTTGGTATGAGATAGAGGTCTGAAAGACCATAATAATAGGGTAATACTCCGATAGAACCTTAGGCGTCAAGTTGTGGCCCGACAAAAATCCGGGCCTCAGGTGGTGGTCATGCAGAAGTTCGGGCCTCATGTGGTGGTCCGACAGAAGTCCAGGTCTCAGGTGGTGGTCCGGCAGAAGTCCGAGCCTCAGGTGGTGGTCCGGCAGAAGTCCGAGCCTCAGGTGGTGGTCCGGCAGAAGTCCGGGCGTCAAGTGATGGTCCGGTGGAGCTCAGGGCCTTAAGTGCTGGTCCGACGGAGCTCAGGGCCTTAAGTGGTCGTCCAGCAAAACTCCAAGCGGTGGTCGAGGAGGAGCGAGGAGGCAAGAGCAATCTCTGAAACTCTCTCTTGCTCTCTTGCTTGGAGCCCCCTTTTCAAGAGGGAGGAGGGTCTATTTATATATTTTATAAAGTGACATGGCCCATAAATAGGAGGAAGATCAAGGGAAAATGTGGAGTGGTTTGGATGGACGGCCGATGTTGAATCCCTTGATCGTGGAATGTTCACAAGACATTTTAAGGTCTTAATGATCTCGAAATTCTATGATCTTGGGCTCGTTGGATTTGTCTTGTCGAGCCGCTCGATTTGATTATAAGCATGTCATGGTTGGAAATCGTTTGGTAATCCAAATTATGGTTTGAACCTTCCAATAGCGCTTCAAGTCCTCGATTCATACCCATTTGGGCTCGAATTGAGTCAAATTTGGTGTCGTTGGGTTCGTATTTTCGAGACGTTCAGTTTGATGGTAAGTTTGCTGAAATCGAAGTTTGAATGGTCCCAATTTTAATTTCGAGTGTTTCCAACTTGATTGTCCACGAGATTCGTGCTCGATCAAGATAATTTTTTGATGATGCATCAATGAATACATATTTTGTCAAAGTACTCAAATAATTTAACTATTTTATAAGTCTTAGGAACCAAATGATACTCTTTATGATAACAATCAATCTTGAATTTCTAGGGCTCAATAATTCTATGCTAAAGATCTTTTTTTATATTATAAATTTCTTAACATGTAACAAGGACTAACTTGAAAATCAATGGATTTACTTTGAGATTGAGGTATTGTTTGGGACAACTCTTTTATTGATTCTTAAAACAGTGTTTTAGTACAAAATTTTAATTTTTATACTATAAAGTTGTTTTAAGAAACAGTAAGAAATCCATCTCAAACGAAATCTAATAGTATATATGAAATGTTTGTGTTGCACCAATATCAAAGCAAATCAAATAAACTTTAAGCACATCTTAATACAAATTCCGATTTCTCAAGAAACCAAAATTTCTTAATCCGATTTCTTGACAAATCGTAATTTTGAGTGCCATATTTTTTTATAATTACGATCAAAACAAAAACCTGAGAAGAAAATTATGATTTCTATTGAAACCGAATAATTAAGCCCTATATTTGCTCCTTTTAAAATTCTCTTGTTAAACTGCTCCTTAAACTAATTGAAATTAAAAACACGCACCTTTTTATAAAATGCCCAATTTCATTCATCTTAAGAACCTGGATAAAGTGGGACCAATGGGGTAATACATGAAGACATAGGGGTGTCAATTCGGTTCAGCGGGTCGGGTTCGGGTCGAACCCGGAACTGACCAGGCACTGTTCGGGTCAACCCGAACCCGACCCGATTCGGGATCGGGTCAACCCGACCCGACACGAATGACCCGAAGTTGACCTAAACTTGTTAATTTTCGGGTCAAAATTGGGTCAATATTCGATTTTCGGGTCAAAATTGGGTCAAAACTGGTCAATCTCGGGTTTTCGGGTCAAATATGAGTTTTTTTGTCACTTTCGGGTCAATTTCGGGTTGTTGGGTCAACCCGAACCCGACTCAATTTTTAAAACGGATTGATTTGGTCAACCCAAACCCGACCCGTTTCGGGTTCGGGTTGACCCGAACTCGGATTTTCCCGGGTCGGTTCGGGTCATGTTTCGGGTCGTGTCAAAAATTGACACCCCTGTGAAGACCAAAACTTGAAAGAGTTAAAGGACTGATGTGGTGCCACGTGGAAACCTCAAAGCCTCACTAATAAATTGATAATATGACATATTAAAAATTGATTAGCATCCAACCTTTGTTTTTTATTGGCTAATCACATAATTTGGTGGTTAGGTTAGAATCTATCTACATGGAATATATATTTATTTTATCCAGTAGTTGAACTGTTGATAATATTTATAAAAGCTAAGCACTTTCTTAATTAATAATTATTGCCCTTAAAAATAATTAGTATAATCTGAATAATTGCTACACACACCTTTTATTTTTGGGCAATTAGATAGAGTTATTATATAATTTTAATCTATATCAAATTTTTTTATTTTTAATAATGTGATTAAATATTACAGTATTAGTTATATTTAAAAAAATGTATTAGTTATATTTAAGCTATGTCATATTTTTTAAAATATTTATGACTAACCATATTATTTAGTAATTATGGTTTTATAAAATTGTACTTAATATTTTCAATCATTCATCAATAGTCATGAATAAAAATATAGTATACCAAAAAATATTCAAAATAAATTTATTTGTTAGTTATTATTTTTAAAAATATAACTAAAATTTGATGTTTAAGCACTTTAAAAAAATGATAATTATATCTTAAGAATCAGCAGTAAATATACTTTAAAAATATGCAAATATTATGATTAGAATATTCTCATAAAATTTTTATGAGAATTTTCTTAAAAATTATTAAATTTGTTTTGAGATTGATGTTGCATATGAATTATTTATATTATTCTAATTATAAAATCAATATTTTTAATACATGTGATGTTAAACTATTCTAATATAATTTTTATTATATTTTTATATTTGTTGTTAGAAGGGAACATAGCTTTAAATTTCAACAATCAACATGCATATAATCTCAACAAACATTTGAATTTTCTGTTTGTTAATATTATATACATGTTTGAAAGAAATGTTCTTTATAAAATTTTTTTTGTACTCTTAAGAAAATATTTGTACTACAAGCAACTAGTCCTTATATTTCTTGTAGGACAAGATAGGTTAACAAAGCACCAATAAATATTAAGGAAAAGAAATGTTGTTGATGATTTATACATACGTTATTGATTGATGTCGATTGATGATTGATAAGAAATGTTGAAGGTCAGTCGATAGTAAATAACTGAGTTAATTTCTTTCTTTATTAGAAATGAGATATGATATTTAACATCACAAAAAAAAAAAAAAAAAAAACATCGCAATCATTATTATGATTTTCAAGATTTTATCAACTATGCTTTTTTTTTGGTGAATTTTGAGCTTGTGAATTTAGATATAAATGTAAAAATGATAGAATGTGCAATGCCTCGACTTTATTACCTTGCAACAGAAATTGAAGCTCCTAACTGCTAGTCTAGGGCAAGTTAGGTCAACTAAGAGCGTATTTTGATCTCTATTTGTCTATCGCTTGGTAGTTTCAAACTCAAGCTTTACCTCATAAATTAAGCTGGAATTTGACTTGACGGATCAATTATGGGCTCGAGCCCAAACTCATGAGCTCAACTCCTTTCTCCAAATTCTTGAAACCATTGACAGTAAAGAAGCAACAAAATCACAACTAGAGCTTGTTGAAAAGGCATCGAAGTTGCAGAATTCGCAATGGGATCTCACTTGAGAAGGAATTGATGGAGACGAAGTTGCAATTTGAGCTTGTTGTAGAAGGCATTAAATTCTAGAGTCTATTTGTTGGATATTGAAGGCTTACCAAAGAAAAACCAATGCCCCTCATCCTTTTCATATATAAATCCTCTTTACAAATGAACTTGAAAAGGAAGAAACTGTCATTAAGAGTGAGAATTTTAATGGCGTCTTTGAGGATACAAATATGTGTGGTATTTTCAAGCAAAACAGGACAATAGAGTCAAACAATAACCCTAACTTCATAATATAATAATTTGTATGATGTTCTTAGTTCGCTATGTATTTTAAATAGATCCAACCAAACAATACTTAGATATATGAATATTAACTTCATAATGAAAATTTCTGCGGTGCATCTTAATAATAATACACCTTAGGAATAGAATATCCTTTTTTTTATACTCATTTCTAGAACTTTCTAGAATATTCTATGTTTATTTTATATATAATAGATGTAAAGAAGATATGATTGGTATGAATTATATTTTTGGAATGATTATTTGCATCAGTTGGTATTAGATTTTAGGCTCATTAGTAGCTAACTCTACGACGACGTTTTGAGAAGTTAGCCGACAACTATACCCTGGCAACCATACCAACGAGTCACTCTCCCTGGATGGCAACCATATCGTCGGGCATCTTCATGCACACGCCTTTTCTATCTCATCTCTTATTCAAAGCCCATTCCCACACTCGTCCCATCCAGGAAATCTCTCACGGTCCGACCCCGCTTTTGGCTCCACTTCCTCTCACTCGCAAATTCACATAAGCGGTTTTATCACATGCCTATTGTCCAACCCGATTGCGCACTTGATGTGCAGCCTGCTTGCAAAGCTGCGAGCTCCTCTGATTTTGATCAACATCAGTTAGCAGACGGTGAGCTCCTCCGCAACTGCACAACTGAGCCTCGCCCCACCAAAACCCGTTGTCCGCCTCCCGCATACATGAACCAAGCTCGTACCCCCTTTCATTCACGTCTTCTCCCCACGGCAAGCATGCGTGTCACCTAGCCCAGGCCCGACACCCGTCTCTGACCTAACCCCAGCACTCACATGTGACCCGCGTCCTGCGCTCACAGTCCCTTCTCCGAACCTAAGCGCTACTTCAGCCCATCCACACAACTGGATCTCGCACTCTACACTCCCAATCTTGTGTGTCGTCTTGTTCGCTTCCTCTCACTCACATTCTTGAGATGGAGGAGGAGTATGGTACGGTGCATCTTAATTAGAATACACATTCGAAATATAATACACGTTTTTTAGTATATCTAGAACTATCTAAAATATTCTATGAATATGTTATACATAATAGCTTAAAAAAAAAAAGAGGTATATGAATTATATTTTTGAAATGCTTACCTTTATCAATTTTTGCTATGAGGATCTATAGCTTCGTGATTGTTGAATTTTATTTTCTTAATCATGAATTCAAGATATATATTTAATTTTTTTTATTACATAATGCATAAAACATTAAAAAAATGAAATTTGGAGAATGAGAGCTCCTTGGACCTAAGAAATTGAACATAAAAATATATTTTTTTTAAATTAAATGTGTTTTTTCTCATAAAAATGATATTCAACTCGATTTTATTATGCTAATAAGACAGAATCATATAATTACAATAAAAAAATATATAATTATAATACAAATTTTGATATGACATAATTTGACTGATTTTGAACACAGAGATTTAGAATACATAAAATTATTCTTTTCTAATGACAAAATTGACTGATTTGATCAAATTTTTATCAAAACAAATAATAAATTTGTTAAATTTATTTTAAAACAAATATAATAAAAATCTCAATTAGTTTCTCATATGCCACACTCAAATCTCATTTTATGTATAATTTAAAGGTCTATTTGCGACGGTTGCAATATTTTATAAAGCTAATTGTGAAGCTGTTTCACTCAAAATAGTTTAGTTAATCTTATTGTAAAAAATAACTTTTAATCACATATATTTTTGAACAATACTAAAGAATAACACGAAAGTAATATCCAAATAAAATTATAATTGTTATATCAAAAACAAAATAGTGAGTAAGATGTCTCAAACAAGCCTTAAATGAGGTAACTCATTAAAAAATAATAATTATTACTTGGAGAAATAATTATGATCAACCGGTCTATATTTAGGTTTTGTTTAGGATGACTTTTTTAATACTTCTTAAAGCAATTTTTTGTGCAAAAAGTTTTTTTTTTTTTTGTGCTAGAAAGCTGCTTTAAGAAGTGAAGCCTTACGATAAAAGAAATTATTTGGTGTGGAGTTCGGACATAGCTCTATGTTCGAACTCCAATAGCATGCCACCAGGTGATGGCCTGACGACCTTACCCAATGAAATTATAACATTCGTCGCGTCTTTTTCAATTTATCGCGTGCGGTCTAATGACCCGACCCGATCCATGGCGCCCGATGATGCTTTGACATTTTATTTATTTATTTATTTATTGCAGCGTTTTTTAAAAAATTTGCAGCATCTGTATACAGCCTGGAATACGCACTGATAAGGTGAAAATAAACATGAAATAAGTATGACTTCGCCTAAAAGTTAAATTAAATTAATAAAATAAAATTCAATAAGAGCATCATAATAAAAATCTCCTATCAATTCCTTCCAAACAATGCCATTATAATAATTATACTACAAATAATATAACTAATAATCCACCGGCGCAATCATCTCCGGCCATGGCCGGCCATTGGAATCTCCGCCCGCCGTGCCAAACGTTAAAATACGTGCGGGATTCGCTTACCGAAAAGCGCGTTGCCGAATGCGTAAAAGAATCCGTGAGCTGCGCCTTCTCAGTTTTCTAGAACTGCAGCCAAAACGCGGCTAAGCTGGCGGCGGAAATCACTGCGGCGAAACGCCACGTTTTCGCCAGCGTGCTGCCGCTCGCAGGACCCAAGAACACCATGCTGTCATTGATCAGCGGAATTCCAGCTGCCTGCGGATTATTCTCCCCTGCTTTCTGGCTGCAACCAAATAAGCGAACGAGAAGTCAAAGAGGTATCTAATTTGAAGGAAAGATTGCTTTTTGAAATCAAGTTTGTGCAAAAGATTACAAATTTTGTCATGAAAGTGATACCCGGGGTTACTGGGGCAGAAGGTGATGATGTAATTGACGCCGGTGGGGCAAGTGAAAGTCGAAGTAGCGTCATCATAAGCATAGCTGTAAGCTCTTGGGCAGGCGTTCTTGAAGATCTGAGAGTAAGAAGAAGGTTTGCAAGTGTTAGGATTTCCATAAGCTCCGCTGCAGCAGAACTCCGGCTTGCCGAAGGCGTCGCAGGCGCTCTTGCACGCCACGCTCTGCCCACCTGAATCGGAGAGGATGACTTTCAGATTCGAGGGACATATACCATTGAGGTCGGCGAGGCAACCAGTAGCCGTACAATTGCCGCCAGAGGAAGCGGTGGAGGAAGTTGGAGAGACGAGCATGGGAAGGTTGTAGCCATCGACGAGGCTGACGTCGAAGAAATCCATGCCACCGCTTCCGTTGAGGGTGAATTCCGCAAGGGTGGCGGGAGGGGTGGCGCCGCTGCCGGAGCAATCGATTTTACCTGAGCCGCAGTCGCCAGTGACGCAGGAGAAGGTAGAGGTGGATTGGTTGGTGGAGCAGTAGGTGCGGCCCCACAGACGACCGGACCAGGAGGAAGGGATATCGACGGAGCGAGATTGGCCGGAGTTGAGAACGAAGCCAGTGGTAGATAGGGGCGCCGTGCCGGCGCCGGAGAGGATGCCGGGCCACACCGTGTACCCGCAGTTGTTGGTGAGGGTGAAAGAAGCCGCCTTTGCACCTGCAATTGAATTGTATAGTTGTAGTTAGAAAGAAACAGATTTTCTTCAAGAAATTGAAGGGTGAAACTAACTGAGGAGTAATGGGAGACGAACCAGAGGCGAGGAAGGAGATGACGAGGAGGAGAAAGAAAAAGGAAAGAGATTGGGATTTAGCCATTTGAGAAGATGGTCAGCTTCTTGAGGTGGAGTTTTGGTGAGGAGGGTGGAAGGGGGTTTCATATAGGGTGGGAAGAAGGTGAATTACCTGTCTTGACTATTAACAAAGGGGTTATGAGCCCTGTTTATGAAGAAAATTTTAAGTTAATTAAATATTTAACTTATTTAAAAATTATTTTTTAATATATTTTTTTAATTTTATTTTCCTTTTAAGCTGAGTGCTCATATATAAAATCATGCACATATGTAAGCCAATATTGAAATCCAAAATCTTGTATATAGGACCTTTCTGTTATACTTGGGATTTTTATTTATTTTAAAAATTTTTATTAGTTTTTTTCTATGTAATATAATTTTAAATATATTTATGGTGTCAAAAAAATTATGTTTTAATATTTTAATTTTATAAAATGAGAAGAATTGGTGATTATATTTGCACGCTAGGGAATTTGCATGATAGAGTGAGAGATTTTTGTATTATAGCTTTGTACGAATATTCAACACACAAACAGATAATTAAAAAGAGCTTGAATAACATTAGAAATTTCATATTGAAAAGTTAAAAATGGGATAAAATCATTGGGTTTGAACTAACCAAAATGATTTCAATACGTGAGCATTAATTACAGAGGGTTGGCCATCTCTTAATTTTGAGACCGCATGATTGTAATAGTATGTAGAGTTTGTAGAAAATATGCAATGTTAGTAAGCGATGAAAGCCGCTTGAACATTATTTATGATCAAGTGACAACAATCTAGTGGTATCAATCAAGTTGTGGTCGCCCGATAATGATGATTGAGCAGCACCAATCCAATGACAATAGTGATAGTCGGGCACCGCCGATCTGACAATGGTGATCGCATGACAACGAACTAGTAATCGTTGTTAAAAAACGGTGGTCCTATAACTGCAATCTAGCAACAAAAACTATAGATACAACGATACAGATCCAACGATGATGATTGGATGGCTGAAGCTCTACGATGATGGGTTTGCCACATCATGACGTTCGATTTAAATATAAGTTTACCAAAATCATAATTCAGATGACCCTAATCTTAATTTCAAAATTTTAAATTCAAATATTCATCAAGATTCGTGCCTAATTAAGACGACTTTAGAAGACATACCAATTAGCAATACATTATTAAATAGCTATTAATCAATCATAGAAATCTTTATATATAACATATATATTTTAAATGAAAAAAAAAAAGTATAAGCTATTAATAGATATATCCGATTTATTCAGCAAAAGTCTCAGCCATATCTAACACTTATATAATATTTTAAGATAGCCACGTCCGTCACACGTCCGTTACACGTCCGTTATTCGTGGCAAATGTGAGTCAATTGGGCTTCAACTAACCAGCAACCCGCGGCCGGTCGTACCTGCTAATTAACTAATTCCCAGCTGAAAACAATAAATATCTGGCGATTAAGAAAATAGCCGCGAAGGCCGAAGAATAAAAATTATGTGAGGGTTGATCTCATAAAATTTATATTACATAGAGCCTTTTTATAATTACATATATTATACAATATGACATAATTAATTCATTATATACAAAAAATATTAACTATTAGACAAAGGAATTCAGTCAATTCACAATATTTTTTTGGCATTATTATATTTGGAATTTTTTATAATTTATAGATATTTATCTAATAATTTATTTATATTGAGAAATAATTTATTGATAACTAAAATTAAATGCTTTAATAGTATATATATATATATATATATATATATATATATATATATAATATATATATATATATATATTCTGGAAAAATTTTGAGGAAAATAAAGAAATTTTATTTAATTTTTTGTTACTTATATTTATTTGAATGAGATTAATCAAGTCTTTTTTATTTTTTTTTGTTTTCTTTTTTTTTTTCTTATTTTTTTATTTTTTTTTTTTTTCTTTATGTATATTTCATTTTTCTTTTCAAGTTATTTCTGTGTTGATTATATCTGTTGTTTATTTTTTTTTTGTTTTTTTTTTATTTTTTTCTTTTTTTTTGTTATTATTGTTTTTTTCAATTTTTTTCTTTTTTTTTTTTATTTTTTGGGTAACTTATATTATTTTTTATTTAATAATTTTTTTTAATGCAGTTTAAGGTTGAGTCATAAGGAACAAAATATAAATTGATACATAGGCTTAATTATTTGTAACAAAACTTATTTATTTGAAAGATTTATGAAGTCTTAAAACTACAAGTCGCCTCTTAATAAGTTTGTTTAGTTAAATCAGGAAGGAAATATGAAAACTTGCACTATAGTTATAGCAATAAGCAAAAGTTTGAACTTAACGAAGTTCTATTAATGCACTATCTTTTATAACCATTAACACTTTTACAAAGTCTTTATATGCAGAACAAAATACTTATTTTCGAGGTTCAATGCATATCACTTTTACTTCTTCACATATTTATTTAGAGATTTAGAGTTTACTAATAACCTTTGAGAATTATTCTTTAATTTAATTAATAAAATATTAACATATAGAATGCAATGATTAAAGTGATCATGTCCGAATATATTTATAGTCTCACATCACTTATGTTTACCTCTCACGCCTACATATAAAAGTGTGGTCATAATTTCTCCACATCAACATCAGGCAGATGGGCTAGAAGAATTCGTGTTTACTAATATCCTACACCTGCTCTCAACAGTGAGGCCAGATTTCTTCACATCTGCATCAGGCGGATGGGCCAAAATATATATTATAGTCATTGTAACAATACAAAGAGTGCACTATTCCACTTTCAAACATAACATCTCCAATTTTATGCATGCAAAAATGCAATGCACTTTAACAGTTAATAGATCAAGCATTTGACACAAATATTCAGATGTATATTGCAAGAATTGCCAGTCAAATGTACAGTACTTGTAAGAAGACTACTCATTGAACTTTTATCTTATTTAATATCAAACTTTAAAGGAAAATTCAAATGATAATTTCAAGCTCATTACTATATTGGTTTTAAAATTTTGCTCACCATGATTTTTTTTTTATCCATAAGAGCACAAACCAAAGATACTTTGTTTGATCCTTCAAATAAATAATTAGCAGTTTTGGCTAATTTGAATAAACTATAATGTTTGAATAAATATAATCATTTTATGCCTTAATATAAAATCTTGTGTACGAATTAAAAGAAATACAATCCGCATTAATTAAAATAAAATGAAAGCGATGCACTTCTAAGAACTATGAGATTTTTTTAATTGATAATTACGGTGAAGCTAGCAGTGTGTTATTTATTTAATATTTTTGGAAAATTATATTTATTTTAAAATAATAACAAAATATATAAACTTTATATATAAAAAAATGCAATTTTTATAAACATCACCTTATTTGATGAGACAATAATTATCACGTTCCTGCCTCACCCCCGCTCCAGCCATGCGGCCCACGCTATGGACCCTCACTAGAGCAACGCCCTGCCTGCCACTCTCGACCCTTGCCTACTGCCTACTGCTTGCTCATCTGCTCGCACTAGTAAGTTAGCGGGTCAGAGCAGATCAACTGATTAGTGGGTGAGATCCGGAGCTGAATCTTATACATGTTTGTCTAATCAGGTCCTGATTGAGAATATTAATTAGTCCATTAAAAAATAGATGCTGTTTTATGAATTTTTTTTCACAAGGAGAAAGTCTACTCATAATTTGGGTTTATTATCATTAAACAAACCATAAGAAAAAAAATACAAATGTAAATCAAATAAAATGATGATTTTTTATTACTTTTTTAGTTAGTCAAAAATTACTATGCATTAAATATTTGTAGTCATGGTTGTTGCGCCCATGCATGGGAGCGCAACTTATAATATTTATAATAAATAGTTATTGTTGTACCTATCTTAAGACAAATTAATTAGACTGTGAACAAATAAAATATTCTCTCGCCATGAGTGGTTTTTCTTTTGCATGTATGCTCAATATTCCTTTCTTTTATCAAATATGATATTGATTATAAACTAATATAAATAAACTAACTGTTAGAATTATTTACAAATATTAAATATTTTTTACACATATATTAAATATGCACCAAAATGAGAAAAAGAGAGGTAGAGAAAAATTCAACATCGAAAATGTTAGGGAATGAAGAATGATGAAATAAACTATATATACTATATATATATATATTTATATAATATTATATATATATATATCAAATCTGGGAAAAATCATAGGAGAAGATAGAACAGTTTTTACTATAGAGAAGAGACGAGAGGTACAAATGACTTCAAACCCGAAGTCATTTAGTAACAATATTTTAGTAAGGACAAAAAGTAGGAATCGAAAAAAAGCGATAAGGTTCCTAAGAGATCTATTAACGAAGATATGGGTCAAACGTCATCAGGGAGCACACTGGCCCCGTTGCGACATCTGAAATCTACAGAGTGTACGACTGTCATGGCCCAGGAACGAGACGAGGGTTTGAGCTAAATTTGAGGAAACTCCAATCATAAAAACCTGAGATCTGTTCTTAGTGAGATAATGTGAAGCATCCAAAGGTCTATAATAGGGATTCAAGCATTTCAGTGAGGTTTGGACTCTAATGTGAGCATTTAATTAAAATTAATTTATGATTAAAATCAACCATTTTTTATAATTAATGTAGAAAATATGAAAATTAATTATTAATTATGACTGGTATCTAGTGGGAGCCCATACCCCCTATAGCTCCCCTCTTGCTCATAAGTGCGACTATCGTAATATAGTTAATATCTTTTTATATATACAATTAAAGGCATTAGGAGATATTCATGACCAATGAGTTATTTTTATATATGAATTTTTTATTTTACTATCACTATAAGTTACATTCCCAATACTCAAGCTTCATTTGAATGTATCAACTTTTTTTACTGGCTTTCTTTATAAGAGTATCTCCAAATAATGGGGAACGGCAAACAACCGTTTCGTCGGTCACTCACAAACGAAAAAGCCTAAGACATATATCTTCTACTCACGGATACAATATTTTATTAAGCGCATAACAATAATATTTGAAAATGGTGATAAAATAAATTAATATATTTTAAATATAATATAATAACAAAATTTTATAT